AAAAATGCTGGGGCAACCTATCAAAGGTTGGTCACCAAAATGTTCCAAGAACATTTAGGGAAAACAATGGAGGTATATATAGACGATATGCTCGTCAAAACCCAACGATCTCATGATCATATTTCACATCTGTCTGTTACATTTGAAATTTTGCGAAAGTTTAATATGAAACTCAACCCAGAAAAATGTGCATTTGGAGTTGCATCAGGTAAGTTTTTGGGTTTTCTTATTTCTAACCGTGGTATTGAAGTGAATCCTTCTCAGATCAAAGCAATAGAAGAAATCCCTGATATCCTTACTAATAAAAAGGAAGTACAAAGATTAACGGGAAGAATTGCAGCTTTGGGCAGATTTATTTCCAAATCCTCAGAAAGGTGTTTTAAGTTTTTCTCTGCACTCAAAAATCAAGATCATTTTGAATGGAATGAAGATTGTCAACAAGCCCTTAAATATTTGAAAGCTTATTTGGCAAAACCACCGTTGTTGGCAAAACCAAAAGTGGGGGAAAAACTTCTCATCTATCTGGCCGTATCTGAAGTCGCGGTGAGTGTTGTTTTAGTCCGCGAGGACCAAGGTAAACAATCTCCTATTTATTATGTAAGTAAGTCCTTATTGGAAGCTGAGACACGATACCCACAGCTAGAAAAATTAGCATTAGCTTTGATCATGGCATCTAGAAAATTAAGACCTTATTTTCAATGTCATCCCATCAANCACCTGCGGGTGAGACCATTAGACAGGCTATAAAATGTCATTCTATAACTAACAATGAAGCAGAATATGAAGCTGTAATTGCAGGTTTAGAATTGGCACGAGAACTCGGCATAACACAGATTATAATCAAGAGTGATTCTCAACTCGTGGTCAATCAAATGCTGGGGACTTATACAGCTAGAGAGACGTGAATGCAAGAATACATCGCGAAGGTACGTGAGTTAATAAAGCAATTCCAAACTTGGAAAGTAGTGCAGATCCCAAGAGATGAGAATGTAGAGGCAGATGCTTTAGCAAATCTTGCATCCGCAGCAGACGTGGCAAACAATACAGATGCTTCAGTCATACATCTATTTCATTCCGTTCTTGAATCTGATAAAAACGAGGTAAATTTTAATCATCTAACATGGGATTGGAGAAATGAAATTGTTGCCTTTTTACAGCACGGAACCGTGCCTAATGACAAAGGAAAGGCTTACGCGCTTCGCAAAAAAGCTGCACGATATTGTTTATATCAAGGTAATCTTTATCGAAAGATGTTCGGCGGACCACTAGCAAGGTGTCTCGGACCCTCTCAAACCGAATATGTCATGAGAGAAGTACATGAAGGACATTGTGGGAATCACGCAGGAGGACGGTCACTGGTAAGAACGTTAATTCGCACAGGATATTATTGGCCTAAGATGGAAGAAGAGGCAACCAGTTTCGTGTCCAAATGTGATAAATGTCAAAGGTACGGCAACAATATGCACAGACCAGCTGAGTTATTACATCCTGTTATAGCCCCGTGGCCCTTTATGAAATGGGGAATGGATATCGTAGGTCCACTTCCACAAGCAAAAGGTTAGGTAAAGTTTCTACTTCTACTTACAAATTATTTCACTAAATGGGTAGAAGCAGGGGCATTTAAACAGGTATGAGAGAAAGAAGTTAAAGACTTCATATAGCGAAATATAATATGCCGCTTTAGAGCACCAAAGGAGATCGTGCGTGACAATGGACCACAATTCATTGGAGCTCAAATCACAAAATTTCTTTGAAGTTGGAAGATCAAAAGAATAACGTCTACGCCATACCATCCAGTAGGTAATGGACAAACAGAATCTACTAACAAAGTCATTATCAACAACTTGAAGAAGAGGTTACAGGATTCAAAAGGTAATTGGCCTGAGGTGTTACCTGGAGTATTATGGGCTTATCGTACAACGACCAAAACAGGCACTGGAGAAACACCATTTTCAATGGTTTATGGTGCGGAAGCCTTAATTCCAGTTGGAATAGGTGAGCCAAGTACACGGTACGATCACGCAACGGAGGAATATAATGATGAAGAGATGCGGGTCAACCTTGATTTACTTGAAGGAAGAAGAGATGTTGCACATTGATAAGGATGACAGCACAAAAACAAGTAATTGAACGATATTACAATAGGAAAGCACACCTCAGATTTTTCAAAATTGGGAACTTCGTGCTTAAAAGGGTGTTCCAATCTGCAAAGGCTGCCAACTCAGGAAAGCTAAGTCCAACATGGGAAGGACCGTACAAAGTCCGTGACATTGCGGGAAAAGGAGCATACCAGTTGGAGACAATAGATGGTAAAATTTTACCCTCACATTGGAATGTCGTCCACTTAAAAAGATATTACTTTTGAGAAAGTACTTACGGTGAGGTATCACCATGTTAAAATTTCTCTTGGATTATTAATATTTTACTAACGATTTTAGATGCTAGGCAAAATACCCTAACTCGTGCCAAATGATGAGTCACAGCCTGCAAGGCAAAATGGAGTATTCTTAAATTCCTAGCCTAGGGTTACAATTAATCTGATGGAAATACACACGAGTTAGGTAGTCTTCATCTATAATCGCACCTTCGAGTCCCGTATATCTTTCTGTTTCAGGAAAAGGACCAAAGTAAAAGAAATAAACAAGTGCTCGAGGCTTCATAATTCACCGCTCAAACACTTGGGGGACTACAATATTGTACACAGATACGTGTAGAAATGCAGATACGAATATCGAACAAAAGTCTGCCACAAAAAGACAAGTGTTGAGAAAAAGTTACGAAGTCTTCAGCATTCATGAGAATAACAGAGTCATCTCTCAAAACTCATAAACAAAGTCACCTTTCAAACCCTTCTTAATATATAAAGATTGGGTCATGACTATGTACTGAAACAGGTTATGAAGAAAAACCTTGTTTATTCTATGTTATGTACAAATCTATTACAAGAAAAACAGTTACGAGAAAGTTGTAGATGTATTGTAATACATGTAATAATCAAACACTTGTTAAAGTTTATGAATAAAAACTTGCCAAAGTTGTTTCATACAAAACGTGTGTATTCTTATTTCTTTCATCGTATTATAACACCATTATGAAGTTGAGACGTCTTCTTCATTATGTGTCGGTAAAATAAAAGGGCCTTCTTTTATAAGCCTCATGTTGAGAAGAATCATAAAGCATTTTAAAAGGATAAAAGTGCTAAGATATTCCATAAGTCCAAGATAAATAGGCAAGAATAGAATATACAGAAGTACCGATAAAACTTCTTAATATAAAAAAAAACTAAGTACAAACTTAGTCAACAAAATATTTGTTTTATACAAATGCCCCATTATGATAACTGGGGACTTCATCAAAAGATCCCTTACATCAATTTCATTTTCAGCTAGTCACTGAAGGGTTTGGAACATCAGAAGTTTCACCCTCGGGAGCAGGAATTGCAACCCCAATTGCTGCTGTAGCCACTTCTTCATTTAAAAGTTCTTCCGTTCCAGGAGCTTCAAGTACAGGAGAAGGAGTATCAGTAGATTGTTGACTTTTCTCGATGGTATCTACGACTTTGGCCAGTTCAGACTGCAAGTCAAAGCCTTCCTGAGCAGCTTCCATTAAAGCATCACGGCGAGATTTTAGGAAAGCCCAACTCACTTCTATGTTGAAGTTCTCTTCCAGAAGCCCATATTCCTTTTCCCACATAGCAAGATCGTTTTTCAAGATTTGGTGCTCAGCTAAATGGGAATCAAGGGAAGCTTCAAGAGAGGCATGAGAACTCTTCAAGGCATGAATCTCGTCAGAGGAGGTCTGTAAGTCAGCTTGAGTCAAGCTTTGCACTAACTCTCCTGCATACTCTTCTTTCTTAGCCAAAAGTGTCTTCAGCTCCCTAACTTCTTCACTAGTCTTTGATAATTGTTCTGACAAAGAGAATTCCAAAAGCTCTTTGTCTCTTTTAAATTGGCTTGAAGAAGCCTTGGCAGTTGCCAGTTCAGAAGTCAAACCACGGTTTTGCTGCTCCAGGAGGTTTTTATTTTCTTGCAACTCCTCTATGGTCCCTTGAGCATTCTCAAACTGTTCTTTTCAATTGGCTGCTTCAAGCTGGGCTCCCCTGGCTATTTCTTCGGCCTCGTGGACAGTTTTTTCAGACTCACGGGCTTTTCTTTCCAGAAGGGAAATTCTTCCCATTAATTTTGTACCAATAAGGTTAGCCTACAGAGACAACTCATAGAAATGAGGGATTGAAGATAATAAAAAAAACTTGTTGGTAAGAAGAGGAAAAATACCTTCAAAGTAGAATGAACTATGTCATTCATCAGAGTCAAGCAGCTATGGCTCTCCATCTTCTTCTTCTTAATATCTCCAATTAGGGGCTCAAGCCAAACATCGGCTCTACCAGTCTTTCTCAAGAGGCTATGGTTGGCAGGAACTTTCAGAGTAACACTTCTCATAGTCATACTTCCACTGCTAGAACCCGTCTCTGTATGATGAACAGAGGGAAGAGTAGCAATGGAAGGAATGGAAGGAGAAGATGCAGAAACAGGAATGGAAGGAGAAGATGTAGAAACCAACGTAGGAACGGACATAGGAGCAGTAGAAACTGGCAAAAGAACGGAAGTCGTCAAAATTGGTAAAGAAATACTTATGGTTGGCAGTGGAATGGAGGAAATAGGAACGAATGAGGTAAGAGGAGCTTCATCAAAAACAGGGTCGAGCTCGTCACTTCCGAAACCACTATCAAAAAGATGCTGAATTGACTTATTATTATCTCTTGGTTCGGTGTCCTCGTCAGAATAAATCAAAACAGGCTCGGTGGTGGAGGTTCGAGCAGGAGTGTCTTCAATTTCATCATCAATGAGTATTCGCCTCCTGACCCTTGGCATGGTAATTAGGGAGGTACCCTCTTCTTCTTCGGAACTTTCTTTTATAGCTTTCCTTTTTGGCAGCAAGGCTCGAGCCTTATCCAAATCAAGAGCAGCATTCGCAGACATGCGAATGGCCATAGCTACTTCAGCCGTCATTCCTCTAATGCCAAATCCTGATTAAAGGATAGATATACATGATCAAAATTAAGGGAAAATGCTTAACATATAAAAAAACATATAAAAAGGGGTATACCATGTGTTTTGACCTTCCAGCTATGTAAGGAAGAAATCGATTTCCAAGTTCTTTGCTCCCTAGAAGCAATCTTCAAAAGTGAGTCTACCCAACCACGGAAGTTGGGAATAGGTTCCACATCTCCCATGGTTGCTACAAAAAACCAAGAAGAGACGAGGTTAAAAACAAATTTCTTTTGAAATTCTCAAAAGTAGGTACGGTAAATAAAAGGAAACCTACGTTCAAAATTCCACTTCTCAGGGAAGGGAGTATTTGTTTTGCCAATCAAGTCCACCGTACGAACAGCAACGTAACGGATATACCATCCACGATCTTTATCATCTTCAGGATTTACCAGAACTTTTTTGCTCCTTGCAGTTAAGATAAAAAACTCATGGCGTATTAAGTTAGGGTGGTATAAATGAATGAGGTGAGAGAAGGTGAAATTGACATTGGCTTTGGAGGATAAGTATCTCAAACAATCCACTGTTCTCCACACTAGTGGACCGATTTGGGCCAAACAAATTGTAAAAAAACGGCAAAAATCAAGAATAACTGGATCAATCGGAGGATTAAAACCTAAAGTGAAGGGGTAAGTATAAACAAAAGAATACCCATTTCTAAAGGAGGAAATTCTCTGATTTGGGGAAGGAATTGACATTCGAAGACTATCCTTCCAGTTACAATCTTTTCTTATGGTGGGGATTGTAAGCTCGGTTACTATTGTAGGGTAAGTATCGGCTTTTTCCAAATTTGCAATTTGCTTTTGAAGAGACGTTTTGTCACTTTCAAAAGACAAATCGCTGGGAACTATCTCATCAACTAAGGGTTCTTGAGAAGAATCAAGAATTTCTCTACTTCTAGAAGAGGGGGCCTTTGGGATAGAACTCCTTGAAGAAGAACCAGAGGAGCCGCCTCGAGTAGATTCTAACCCTGTTCGAAGCCTACCTCCTCCGCCTCTTCTGTGTCTAATAGGGGCATTGGGGAATTGGTCTAGAATTGGAACTTTTTTACGGTTAGGGTTTGAAGAAGACATTGTTATGAAGGATAAGTCGAACGAAAGTAGAAATAAAGAAAAAAGTGTTTGCTGAAGATTTGTGAAGAAGACAAAGGAAGAAAAAGTTATGTATATAATGGGAACCGTCAAACTTAGAAGTGTAATGATGGAAAGCCTATAATAAAGGCAACTATCACTTCGTGAATAGTGAGAATGAAGAAGTCTTAAAAAAGGATGTAAATAGCAGAATCAATCAGAAAATGACACATGGGCGGAACATTGAATGGAAAAGACTACTGAGGCGTTAATACTGTCATAAGCATTAATTGTGGCGAAAATTCCTTTTTTATGAAGATCCACTTCCCAATTATTTAATTGATAAATAAATGGAAAGTGGGGGGACTATCTGTATTGGGAAAAAAACTGAGTTTATATTAAAGATGACGTGGCATGACACGTGGTTTGGTTAAATGGTCAAAGCGCAACAATTGACTAAGAGGCACGGATGGAGACAGCCACGGGAAGAGGAATTTAAATAGGCACGAGACGAAGTGCAGATACGAGTCTCGTACCAATTCAAGTCATTTACAGCCAACGGATTAGAAGGCATTAAAGACAAAGATCTGATGACAGAAAGAAGTCCAAATTCATTATTAAATACCTAATACGTTAGAAAATTGGTATTTAATAGGAATGATTGTATAACGGCTTATTTAATATCATTTATTACTCATAATTATACCATTAAAGCTGAGGCTTCATTCCTTTACCTATGAATTACCTATAAAAGGAAGAAGTATCATCATTTGTAAGGACACGGAATACTATTGGAAACTCATTGAAATACAAAATTATTTGCTATTTTACCATCATTATCAAAAGTATTTTATTTTCGTCTCCTGATTATCAGTAACCCGAATTTCTTTTTAGCTTTGACCAAAGACCCAAATTTTTGGTTAAACAAGTATAAACCATCGTCGATTCATGAGGACTGGGTTTCTAATTAACTAATGAATTTTTTCTAAACACAACTTGAGAAATTATATAGGATTGTGAAAGATTCTAAAATCAAATTTAACAACTACAACAATAATGACATACCCAATGTAATCCTACAAGAAGGGTTTGAGGAGGGTAGTGAGTAAGTAGCTTTACCCCTACCTTGTGCAAGTAGAGAGGTTGTTTCCAATAGGCCCTCGGCTCAAAGCAAGCATGTATAATCGTAACAATATAGAGAAAGAAATGCATTAGTGAAAAGTCAAAGAGGCAATAACAACAGCAAAATAATAGAAAACCAAAACAAAAACAACACCATGTAGTAATAGGAATCTAAAAATAAATGAGTATGATAATAATGCTACTACTATGTACTGGAATGAAAGGAAAGACGTTCGATTATCTACTAACCTTTTACCTAATTCTCGACCTGCACACTTTCCTAGCAAGGGTCATATCCTCGGTAAGCTAAATATGTGTCATGTCATGTCTATTCACCTCTCTCCAATACTTCTTCGGCCTACCTCTACCTCTCGTTAGACCTACCATTGTCAATCTCTCACACATTCTCACTGGGACATCCAGATATCTCCTCTTCACATGCCTAATCCATCTCAATTTTACTCACTGTATCTTGTCTGCCATGGAGGCCATGCCTACCTGATAAGTGGGGATTTTGACTGCTTATTAGTACCTTTTAGCTTTTGTTTCAGTCCGAAAGTATTGAATTGTGTTCCCGAAACTAATGAAATTGTGCAAATTGCAGGAATGCTGGAAGCTTGGTCTCCCAAGATGAAATCTGACTTAAAAAGGAGTGTTCCGAAGTATAAGGCAATAAAGGGTACAGAAGCACAAATGTGTGATCCGCAGAAGGAATCCTGCAGCCGCAGAAGAAATTACGAACCGCAGAATTCCATCTGCGGCCGCAAACCAAGAAGAAAAATCTAATAGAACTTTTAGCAATGCGCAGACCGCACATGAATTGTGCGGCCGCAAAACTGGGGTAAGAGTCAAAGATCAGAGAGTATGCAAAAAGACCAAGTCCAGGAGCCTTTGTGAAGTACGAACTGCACAAGAATTGTACGGCCGCAGTCTAGAAATGTGCGGCCGCAAAACTCACCTTCCTGCCAACTGAAGAAATCTGCGGACCGCACATGGAATTATGCGGCCATAGAACCTCCCGATGGGCATTTTTGTTCGTAATTTTTGGCCCCGTATAAATAGACAAGTTTCACAAAATTAGTTCAAGTTTGAACATCTGAAGTTATTGTAGCCGTTTTTCTTTACTACTTTAGGAAGTTTTACATTATTTTGGTGTATTTACATTAGATTTCATCATTTTAATCTTCCATTATGAGTTTAATTAGCTTTTTTCTTTATTTTCTTCAAATCCCATTATGAGTAGCTAGATTTTTACTAAGGTTGTGACTCAATCCTAGTGTGTAAACCTTATGGGTATCTAATTTAGTGCTTGTTGATGATTGGGTATTGATTATTTAGCTTAGTTCATGCTTCAATTTTAGAATTAATGGTTGCAAACATAGATTCATGCCTATTTGACTTAGTATCTACTTGAGAAAGAGGGACCTAGTCTAGGATAACTTAGTTAACATGGAATTGAGTTAATTGAGAGATTGATTAACTTAATTAAAGGGTTCAACCTAGAGAAAGTAATAACCCGACTTGAGGTCTTATCAACTATTTTGGTTAATATCCAATTGGGCTTGAGAAAGTTAAATTGGGCAAAATCACTCTTTAACCAAGAAGTATTGAGTGAGTACTATAGAGTTAAGAGCTATAATACACCCCAATCAACAAAACAAGCATTAAGTCTTTATCCCATTAAGCAAACACCTAGGTAATGGTCACAGCTCTAGGCCTTTTACCCATTTGGAAAAACCTCAAAAAAGTTTATCTCTAGTCTATTCTCTTTAGCTGCATTTATTAGAGTAACAGTAGAAGTAGTAAATAAAACTATATTGTGGAAGTGCAATCTAGATAACTCAATTGCTTATTTCAAATATATAACCCTAACACCCCTCATAACTCCTAGTGAATTCGATCTCGACTCCTAGTTGAGTATTTATTATTACACACGACCGTATCATATCTCTATTGAGGTGTGTTGTGGACGTCGTCAGTTTTTGGCATTGTTGCCAGGGAGTTAAAACGGTGTTAGCTATATATTTGGGTTCGTTTTTGGAATATCTTTTTTTCCTTTCGTGTTACTAACTTGTGTGAAATAATTTTAGGTATAATCATGGTGGCAAACAATGAACTCGAAAATATGCTTTTGGGGGATGTGGACGTCGAGGATGAGCAAGTTAATGAGGTTCCGCCCGAACCTCAAGCCAATAGAAGAGGCTGAGCGCCTCGTGACAATGTTCCTGCTCCACCGCCACCTCCACCACGAGCGGCTCCACACCATGTACTACCTGATGAAAGGTATGCTAGTGCAATAGTCCCTCCCCGTATTAGGGCGGGCAACTTTCAAATCACCAATGTGATGCTCACTTTGCTATAGCAACGAGATTTATTCACCGGTGCTCCAAGTCAAAATGCGTATAAACATTTGAAGGGGTTTGTGGACACTTATTGGGGGAGCAAACAAACAAATGTCGTCGAGGATGCGTTGAGGCTAAGGCTTTTTCCCTTCTCTCTATGATGGAATGCTTTAGATTGGTTGGAACAATTACCGAACCATTCCATTCATACTTGGGATGAGTGTTGCTCCCAAACGCACACGCAAGTATACGTGGTCGACAAGTAATATAATGATAAGTTGAGTGTCGA